TAATGCATTATTATTTGTACATTTGCCCAAAACCAGTAAAAATTACTTCCTTGGGCAATCTAGTGTTAATCGTCATTTCGTGACGAAGTCATTGAAATCTGTTAATTTTTCAAAGGAACAATTAGAAACGACGAGAGACAAGATTCCTCAAGTCAAGTAGCAAACTCGATAACTACGGAGCAAAGGGTTATCGGCGGATTCATTAGCAGTACAATAACAACGTGCACTGGCTGGAATAATACAGTGCCGTGTGGCATCCTTCCGGGTATTGCGGCTGCTGCCGCATGGTTTTGGTATAGGTATTTTGCTTGCATGCTTGCGCTCGGCCGGGAGGGAGCTTATGCGCTCGCATCCCCCTCGGTGCCACATGCTCCTCCGTAACGCAATTCTCCCTTTGAGATCGTCAGCCGGCTTACGTGTTCGCATCACACGTCATTAACGTCGCTACCGCCTATCCCGGTTCGATTCCCAAATCGCGGCCTCAAACGACGTCTTGTTCCGCTGCCATTCCGTCGACTTGTTCACTCCACGCCTCTCAATTTCGATAGTACAAATTAATTGTTTATGATTTTAAATAGAATTAAAAATTATTTCGTATGATTTCTTTGAACTTCTTCATTTTTATTTTAATTTTAAATTTATTATACAGCGAGACTGAACGTAATGGAATGAATTCTCAGATCGAGGGACGTTTGCTAAGTTTCGGGCCAACAGAAATTGAGTGAGGTCCTTCGTCCTTAGATTTCTGAAACCCCTGAGAATATATTCGACGACGGGGACGCGGCATTATCCAATCTCGAGATTCGTGACTGCTTCATTTCTTCGTTCAGTCCCCTTTTTCGTCTGGTAGAAGAGTCCCTAGGCGAGGGTGATTTATCCGATGTCCGAGACGAACCGATTTCGTCCCGGCTCTGCGGAGTCCGGCCGATGGACCTTAATTAAACGGGTCGCTGCATTCTAAACGAGCGCGGGGATCCCCTCGGAATCACGGACGGCCAATACTTTCGCGAATACATGAATAACGGTTTCAGTATTTTTCGGATGTACTCGACGATTATGAATAAACCACCGATCCTTATGCAAAACGTATCGGTAGACAAAATGTGTTTCAAATAAACGTTTAAATACGATGGAAATGGAATATTAATGTAACTCGATAGCATTTGCAAAATATATTCGATTTTAAGTTGAACTAAATTAATGTAACAAATCCAATAGTAATTTATGAAGACAATAATGGATGCATTAGCATAACAAACAATTCAATTGATGATAAGAGCGCCAAGCATATTCATAGAAAGTATCATTTCTCACGGGAACAAATTGAGAAAAATGTCATTAACCCTTTCGCTACTATGGGCCACTATAGTGGCCTTCCATAAGATGCCACTGAAGTATTGCGGCCGACTAACCGTTTTGCATAAGTATCTCAAAATACTATCTGTGTATGTGCAGAATGTGAGAAACAAATGATGCAGTTTTGCATCATTTGTTTCTCCGTTCAGCGGAAGTACCGCGACGAAAAACCACCCCGTAGCGAAAGGGTTAAATTGGAATTTATTTCGACAGGTAATCAAATGGCAGATATACTGATTAAATCTTTATTAGCATCAAAACTAATAGAATTCAGGAAAGGAATGGGTTAAGAATAATTGCATAATTTAATTTATGTATGTATTAAATTTTTTTTGGTAATTTGTACTACATATGTGTAAGGAAATGGTTCGATCAGGCTTTCATGGATTTCCATGATTCTTAGCAACAAATGTTGGACCACATGTAGTTCCCAGGGAAAACAAGGAAAAATGTTCTTATTAATAACATTGTTTAAAATATTAGACATAAAAATATTGTTATATAGATAATCTGTTATGTTTAGTGTTGGAGTACATAAATATATATATTACACTCCATACAATAATAAAAATCATATAATATACAACATATAATCCATATATACCAATTTTCGTGTCGTTTCAATGGATATGAAATTATTTGGGCATCGAGCGACGGTCGATTCGATATGAAGTTTTATATACATTTGAATGGCGCTGTAGCCTCGCGTAGATCTGAACCCCGTGATCACGTAACAGGAGGCGAGCGGACTTGGTAACAGGAAGTCCAAACACGCGTGGCACGTTCGGAGCGTGCCAGGCGAGCAGTGGTTGCTCGCTTACTATCGCCGCGTAGTCGCACGCAGCTCGACGTAAACCGCGAGAAGATGTTGCGGCCTGTGCTGCAGAAAAAGTTTGCCGCTCTCACGGGAGAGGTTTGATACGTATCCGGGAAAGTGTCGAGAAGAACCGGTCTGATATCAGCCGGGCAATTCCGAGGGAATGAGGGCCCCGTGGCTGGTGCTGATTCTCGCGAAGATCCTCGAGCTGGTCCTCGGGGACCACGTGTGTCACCTTAACGTCACAGACTTCGGTGTTCCTGGTCACACCTCCACCGAGGTACTGTCCAGGCGTAGGCGTCTGGTCTTTCCGATGGGCAGCACGTTCGTGGTAAGTTTCCAACGGGACCTGGGAAACTGCGTTCCTAGCGAAACACCAAACGAGTTCTTACCTTTTGTCACCGCGGTTATAAAAGAATCGCTGCTGATTTCGACGTTTCGTAAAATCTTTACTGGTAGAAGACAATGGAAACTTCTTCACTGGGTCACTTTTTCAGTTCGTACGAATCCACGAACTGTAGTTTAACACTAGAAAGACTGAAACTTAGTATATACCTATATTGCCCAAAACCAGTAAAAATGANGTTTTATACTTATAGTGTTTGGAAACTATTTTTTTATTCAGCTGACAGTGTCAATTTTGCAACCAGTTCAAATCCAACTGCCCAGCAACTGGAATCTTGCCTTCGAGTTCGACGTGATCTGGCCGCTACCTCCCCAAGAGAACTTCCGCAAGAAGTATTTTAAAAAGAGACCCTGGATGGTGAAACGACGTCATCGTCGCGAGTTTTACGCGAACATTGAAACGGCACTGAACAGGTACGATTGCACACCGGATCCTCGTCCTTCTTTGCATTATTAAACAGTTAACTGCGTTTCCAGTCGGAACCTCCCAGGAAGACAATGCCTCTTGAGAAGCATCTGTGAGGCTAAGACATTGTTGAGTCCACCAGGTGTCTCGTTCGTGGAAGATGCCATTCGTTTAATATTAAGGTATGTATCAGTGACGTAAAATATACTTTAATTTCAATGAATTTTATTAATGATTTCCAAGTGATTTATTTTTATCATTTTTGTTTTAGTAATTTTGAAAACGTGGATCAAATGGATTCGTACGACGTCGCTTATAGGACTGAAACTCCGTGCAACGTGGCTTATGCTTGTCCGTTCTCATTCTTGAAACTACTGCTGTTTAACATGTACACAGACGATTTAGGATGACAATAAACTTTTTTACTCGACATTCATGTATCCGAGTCACTCGCCTTAAGGATGTTCAGGCTATACAATCCCTGCCAAAAGTGATGGAAATATAAAATTTAGCAACTTCTATGCTTTTAGAAATCATTTATATTTAATGATGAATATATGAACCATAACAGTAAAGNTGATTTATAGAATAATCTACTTATTCGTGTGTCATCGTTTTTACTTATAGCCCAAACATCCTTAATGGAGCTTAAATGAAATCTTTTCGTTTGACGAACAGAAAATCGTTTGAATTTTATTATCGAAATTCGTGGAAATCCAGTGTCACCGCGGATGCACCGGTTGATCCCTGGGGCAACAGCTCGGTGCCCCCGGGTGTACCACGTCTCGCAAACCTGAGACGACGCCAACGATGGTTAATGTACATATGCATACACGTGTGTACATATATTGATTCGGCGTACGTCTGGGATGATCCTCGCCGCGTGGACTAAGCGATTACGACTTAACGTCGCGCACATGTCGCAACTACAGCTGGCACACAATCGTTGCCATGAAACAGTTTCCATCGATTGACACGAACTCCCACAGTTATTCCCGCGTTTATGCAACTGTCTCGGTGTCGCGGTATAGAATTCAAATTGAAAATCGATCCCTCGCGTTTGGTTATCGGTAGTTTTCAAACATTCTTAGCTGATGCAGAATTTGCAGAACGAAACAAGAAACAATTTACTAGTTGGAAAATTCTGTGGAAATTAAGCATTGTTTCAAGATTAAAAACTGTACACTGTTTTAATATCACGGTTGAGGGTCGAAGATATTTCCTGAGGGAAACGAGATATTCTTTAGGAAATTAAAATTGTTAAGGCCACTGTTATATAACTGCGAATTCTAATTGTGTTTGGCAACGAAAATTTTGTAAAATTATATTAAGTATTATCCGGAGATTAAAAACCGCGCGTAGCTCCGATATCGCAGGCGAGACTCGAGAATATTTTCTAACGAGATCCCGTGTTCTAGTTGTAAAGGAAATTATGAAAGCCGCGATCAAAAGGCTGAAGTTTCGTTCCGGTAGGAGGTAGGTAGCGATAAACTTTCTCGGGTTATTGAAGTTTTCGAAAGGCTCGTCAATATAATTGTACGCCGGCACAGACCAGTGGATGTTAATGTCGCCTGTCTCTGTACATCGATTGCCGTCGTTCAAACTTGCCCCCGAGTTAAACGACCCGATCACTCAGTTAGTTCAGTGAAACAATGAAAAAAAAATAGATATCGAAGTTTTTTATGCTCGATTAACACTAGATTGTCCAAGGAAGTCATTTTGACTGGTTTTGGGCAAATGTACAAATAATAATGCATAAATTATTTTTTTTCCCAAGTGAAGTAAATTTC